CCATGAAATATTCACAAATATTTATGTCAAGTTCGAGTGTGGCACGTACACAAATATTGTGGATACAAACATTAAAAGCACACTTTGGTTCTCAGCCTACTAGACACTAGAAGACTCTGAATATCAAGTCCTTCTTATTGGGGAAGAAAAGAGTTATCTTGCTTGCAGTTCTGCAATGACTACTTCTATCTAGACAGATTCCACAGAGAAATAAATCTTAAGTTATTCAAAAGATCAAATGAGGAAAAAAAAAAAAAGAAAGAAATCAGTGCTCTTAAATACGTCATTTGGTGTTTCATTGAGTGAAATACTATCTATGGGCGCCACAGCAAACTCTAAAGCTTAGCTTACTATAGGTTATCATTAAGAAAGGGATCTGTATTTTAAATAATGCAGCTTCTAGGAATTTCTTGAAGGCATTCCTCGGACACAAATATTGCCAGTCCAACCAACATTAACTTTTTTTTTTTTTTTTTTGCTATTGACTTAAATCTGCATCTCCTGACCTACTTTGGCTCAAACTGAATGCAGGAAACATGCCAAAAACGGCCCCGTAACAAACACCTGCACTGAAAGCAGAGGACAGCGGCTTCTTAGCAGTTTCCCAGCAAAGAAGAAACGTCCTGGTTAGAAACACCACGTTCCTCAGTAAAATGCACTGCCCAGGCAAGCCAAAAGCGCAAGTGGTGATAGCCTAAATCTAAGCAGGGCAATGAGAACAGGCAAGAAGCTGTTCCCTCCCCGCGTGCACGCAGGGTTTGCCGTTTACATGTGCCCACAAAACCACAATTTCTCAGCCCCCGGGCTGGGTTTCGCTGTGGTGCAYGGGCAGGGGAGGCCCAGCCTCTGCCTGCGTATTCCCGGAGACCTCGAGGACTTCTCGGCTGTGAGAAAACCTTGCAGCAATCTTCCAGGACRCCTATTTTTCAAACCTCACGACTCTTAATGAGGACTGAAGGCAAACTCATTAAATAGCTCACAGACATTAAGAGTGTCACCATCTGCAGTTTTCAGGTTAATGACTTTGCATCCGAGGTATTAGGATTCCAAGACAAACCGGAGAATTCGAAGGGTCAGTTTTAATACAAGTGCTAACACTAAGTAAAAGATTACTGGGTGTAATCTAAAAGCCTTTCTTAGGTCAAGAGGTGGCAACCAGCGATTTCTTTCCTTTTTATGCCTTTCAAATCTGCTACAGCTCCATGTACATATTAAAAACTCAATTCACAGTAGTGGAGGAAAAGTGGAAAGGGTAAACTCTGAGGAGACACCGACTTTGGACAGCAGCTYTCTTTCAAAATACCTAATTTCCATCTTATTTCCTTCCTATTTGCCCATTTTATTCCATGGACTTAAGCAAATAGCTTATAAAAATAAGAAAGTATCTGGCCCGAAGCCTTTGGAGTAAACACAGTTTCAATATTTCAGCATGTCTATATAGACTCACTACTTGCAAAGTTTAGGCAGTAATATGTTAAAATAAGTCATTAAAATCTAATTAATAAAACATATCAATAAAATATATATGAATGTACAGAACTGTCTTGGCCCATCTGCCAAGGTAATTACGAGGCATCCATTTAAGTCTTCAAAAAGACTGCATTCTTTAAAATGATTTTGGAAATAAATTATTTACTGACAAGACCCCATATCAGTTAAACTTCATTTAGAAGATGTGGCCCCAGAAAAGGTCTCTTGTATAACTGCCCCTATGTGTATAAATGTTTTAGCAGTGGTTAAATACTTAACCGTAATGATGCAAGACTTGGCTCTTCAAAACAGAAAACTCTGCCGCGGATCTAAGCGTTAATAGGAGTTTGCCTCGGTTTCACATTTTGTTTTCTTTTTGATTGACTGACTGAAGAGCGATCACATCTACTGCTAGGCCACCATTTTAGCAGTTGTCAGTTCACTCGCAGGTTAWATTTAACAACAACTGAAACTTGTGGGGAAAGGCCTTCACCCAGAGCAGAGCACCATGTTCTTCAGCTCTCTCGGGGGATAGAAAATATAGAAATAYGTCTGAATTTTCTAGGGAACAGTTGCAGTATGCATGTCACTTGAGATATTTTGCAAAAAGAAACTCTTACAAGCTGCAAACCCACATATTATGGCATTCTCTGCTTATGAAATGACTCCGGGGTCTCTGGTACTTAGAAAACAAAAAGAATATGAGATTATTCTTGATTTCAGTTTTTTTTAAAGTATGTGAAGAGGACATTCACCAGGACATTCATCAGCAAAACTGCTTATTTCTCATTGTATCTATAACATGTAAATATTGATACATTTATACTTGGGGTCTATAAGGAGACCTTAATCCCTCTGTGCTTAGATAGCCATTAATTCTGGAAATTATGTCCCATACCCATTATGTTCCCCCAGTATTAACCGTCTTCTTGAGAAAATAATGTTTAGCTAATTTCTGTTCAAACTTGATTATTTTGAAACTATGTTGATGAAAACAAAGTGACAGTTTTTTGTCTGGGGCTGAGGTCACTTTAAACAGGATAYAGAAAGACCAAAATTGCGTCTCCTGAGGGATACCAAAATATTTGCTTAAAATAATTAAAGTTCTATTGTTTTTTTATGTTAAGCTTTCATATGAGTAGTAGCACTGCTGAATTTTAGCCACTTAATTTTCATTTGTTGCTACCCTAATTGTTACAGAGTGCTCAGATTTGTACAGATGTATCAAGGCGTAGAATACAAAAACCACAGCCTATATATGCCTTCAATAATTTCTTTGTTGTTTGAAAACTTCCAACTTACAGCAAAGCTGGCATTTTATGGCCTGCAGAGCTATAAATCATTTTTAAAATCATGACGATATTACTCAAAACAGATGTGAAAACATATGTTTGCCACGGTTGTATAAACCGCTTACTTGTCATACTTAATAAATGTTGATACTTTTATTTTAACTACATTCATTCTTAATAACTTTGAAAATCTTTTCCATGGTAAATATATTTTGCCTTAGTAAAAATAATGGCAGGTTTTGAAAACGAAGCTTGTTCCGTATGCAAATTGCACGTATATTTTTTGCTGAGCAACCCAGTACCCACTACACTTCAGCGACTATCAGAATATGAAAAATGTTCTTTTGAAGTGTGATCTATTGTAAATCCACATCAATGTGTTTCACACTCTCCTCCAATATATGAGTTTTAAAGTGCAGGTTATAGAGCAACGTAAAAGATCGGCTACTGCTTGAACACACACGTGCTGCTTGTGTTTTTTATATCACACAGTAGTGCAAAATGGGGGTCCAAAATGATTATTCACCAAGGAATCATAATACTAGTAGGAATGAATGTTCAGATGGAGGCAGATCGCTGAGAAGTAACACCATTTCTATGGGGGCACAAAAGCCTAGCACACACCTGACATGCTGGGGATTTTCAGAAGCAACCTTCAGCCTTAGTGGGTCCTTCTGCAAAGCTGCACTGAGATTCTCTATTTAAAGACATTTCTACAAGACCTGTAATTAATCCAGATGTGAAATCTGCTTGTAACTGTTGGCTGTACACATAACATATACGCCAACATAACAATATTATTCCTTTTAAAACATCAGCATTAGTCCCATTATAACATCATCTTAACGTTTCAGTTCTGCAATCATACAAATAAGTGAAAATTATGCCCTTACTTGACAAAAAGAAATAACTTCTAGTTCTCATATTTGCAGAGAAAAATACATACCCATGCAGAGTAAGCAGAAAAACAGAAATTTTTTTCCATCCTTAAAATGACAATTCTAAAATATATCTCATGATTATTGAAATGCTTAAAGGAGGTAGTTTCTTTTTCATACAGCTGAATCTCTCAGCAGTTCATGTTCAAAAATTCTCTAAGTGTCTGCAGAAATAACACATGTCTAAAGACTATTTTTCCAGTTCATAATCAACTGAATAATACTATGTAAAAATGTAGACCAACAAATGAAGAAAGCTGTATAGCTTTAATCTTAAGATGAACTAYGGTAAAAAATACATACTGGTGTCAGATCTTTATGATTTCATAAATGTTACAATGACAGTTCAGTGGACAGAGCACTTGGTAAGTGAGTTCACAGGTGGTGGGGTTTAAAYGAATTTCATAGTTTGGGAGAGATTGGGTATCAGAAATATCTACTGTTATTCTTAAATTGTACGTTCATGTATCCCAATTCAAAGGGCTACTACTATCAATAATAAATGATTTGCATCGTGGACCCTACAGGATATTGAATTGTTTTGCTGAAAAATGACTAGACATGTGGCAGGAAACCATGCTAGCTCAATAAAATTTAAATCAGCTACACTTCGAGGTTTAGGCTAAATACTCATCGAGGTAATTACCAGAGTAGTGTCATTTTTTATCTTCGGAGTGAACGTATGGTTGATACCTCTTTAAYTCCTTAGGTATTGGTTTGCAAATGGCAATGGAAAACATAAGCAGAGAATTTAAGCAAAAAGATGCAGACAGAAAATAAACCCAAAGTGGCATAAAAGTGCTCATCTAGGGACCAGTGAGGAAAGTGTTTAAAGGCCTAGAGTAATCGCTATATAACACAAAGCTGCTTCCACTTTCAAGAACAGGGGGAGAGGAGTAAGGAAATATAAAGTACGTGAAAGTTTTCAGGTTCTKCCTCCCTGTGACTGCATCAGAGCTGGTGATACAAAAAAGGTGGTCGTCGTTTTCAATAAGCTGCCTCAATAACTTTATGTAACTGTGGAACTACAAATATTTGCTAGCAACCTCATAAATAATAGATTCAAAAGACTGGAAACATATTAGTGCTGTATTATATAAATATAGGGAAGCAAAGATCTGCTTGCTTACACTTCCTAAAAAGAATGCAATCTAAATTCACTAGATGTATTATTCATCACAATTAGGCATTTAACTTATTTATATTATTCTAGTGGGTAAACAGTATACTAGAAGAAAAAATAAAACGGATCATAAATGTAATTAAATGTCTGATATGAAAAACAATCTGTAATTTTTACCTTTCTCTTTTTGTATTTTTTTTAGGCTGGTCCCAGTTTCTTGATCAATGAGTTCTCCTTCTCTGCTGTTGGTCAGCAGAGCTGAAAAAGAAAATCAGAGAGCACTGCTACATAAGACTGTCAGTAAAAAAGGACAATATTAAATAACATTACTAAAAATAATATTAAATTAAAGCATTAAAGTCTATTTCTTTTTTTTTCCCAATATTTTGTTGACCTGATACTTATTCACACTATAYAGTTTCTAAAGCAATTGATTGCCCATAAGGATTCCAGTGCTGCGCAAAGCTAAGAAAGACATGCAGCAAAAGCAAATTTGCTCAAGTTGATTAAACAAAGAACCAAAATTATTACTGGGATGAATGCAATTTCTTACAAACTGCTCACATTAACTAATTAGAAAAATACTTCTAACACAGAAACAATGCAGCTAATAGAGCAAAGGATTTAAGAATTAATAAATATAAAAAAGCAGCAAGTTTAATAAAGATATGGAGAAGGAAGGAAGGAAGGAAGGAAGGAAGGAAGGAAGGAAGGAAGGAAGGAAGGAAGGAAGGAAGGAAGGAAGGAAGGAAGGAAGGAAGGAAGGAAGGAAGGAAGGAAGTTGATGGATGACAGCTAAAAAAGTTGGAAGTTGATGGATGACAGCTCTCTGCTACTGAAATTTAGTACTACTGAAATTTAGTACTACTAAAAAGAGTACTACTGCAAGCACTAACCAATTCTGTCTGGTGTGTTGTCCAGCTGGGAGGGAGAGCTGGACACACTACTGCTCTGGTGCGAGGACGCGTGGCTCCCGGGTCTCTGACYGTCTTCTAGAGAGGGAGCTGGAGAAGGGCTGTCTTGAATCCTTTCCTTAAAACAGAAACAAAACCAGGTCTGTGCAGTTTGATTAATGAACTTCAAAACAGAGAAAAATAGCGGGGACTGAAAGGGGACTGATAGAGAAATAACAAATATTCTTTGCAAGATAAATAATGAGTAGAATTCACATTAAAATAGTTGGTATGATCATGCAATGCATCTGGGCAGTTTTTTTTATCCATTGTGTCACAATCTACTACTTACCACCTTTTTTTTTTTGTGTATGCTGTCTTACCTCATAACGTTTTCACACATAGGATATAAATAATGCTCTCCAATACATTAGCACTAGGATATAAATAATTATCTCCAGTACACTAGTCTTAATCTACAGATATTAAAATTGAGGATGGAAACACACATGAAATCGTGTTTGCACCTGAACGCACAGGTGCAAAAACACAGTACTGTTGCAGGAACTACCTCACGTGAAACGAGCTTACAGCAAGATTTATGTATTGCATTATGCATTATGTATTAGGTATGTATATTGTGTTATGTAATGTAACGGCATTATTTAAGGTGTTGCAATACACCTCACAAGAATTACTTCACTCCGAAACCTGACAGGCTGCAAGAACGACTGGAGTTGACTTTCCTGGGGTAAATGTGGTCCCATGTGGTTAAGAGGTGCTCAAGCAAAAGCCCCTCAAAATGCTCTGCTTTTAATCCTCTATATGTCCTTTAAATCAGYCTGCAAATGGGAACTCTTTCACAAGAAGAGATAAAACAATAACGATTGAGCTATGTGCCTTCTAAGCCTGAGAGTGTTGACAAGGCCCCTGGCAGTGCACAGCAACTGCACTTCTGCGTGAAAAGTGCTCTAGGAACAAAAATAAGAAGGAGCTTGCAAATCTGCATGTGCACATTTGCACAGAAAAGTTTGATATTAACTCTAATTAATAGCTGGGATTGACAGCATTCCAGAAAATTAATCTCTGGAGTTGCCCTTGTCCCTGGTAACCAACTGTTCTCTGTGGAAACTGAGAACTGAAATACTACCTGCTTTTGTTGTTTTAAAAAGGGAGATCCTCTTGCCCCCACATCATTAAAAATCCCAATTACAGAGTAATCTGGGGAGCTTGTCTCAAAGGAACTTGGCAATTTTTCTGCCCCTTTCTAACCTATTCTGAAGGATTTTGCATTTAGAGTTTGCAGTCTGGGTACTCGGTGGCAATTCACCATGTGCTTTTTAAAATAAACTGAATTGCATCAGAATTTTTTCCTTTGTTTTTGTCAGGAAATATGCTAAATCCATAATGCAGCTTTAGCAATTGAATAGTAGTTTCTATTATTTTTCCATTGCATTTAGCTACCATAATTGCTTCTGTTCATAACCTACCGAGGCAACTCATTAATAGCACTAGCAGTAAGATCGACATTTTCCAGGGTATTCTGTTACCCATTAAAATGATTTTTCAGAAACATACTAATCTTCATATTTACAGATACATCTGAGAATGATGCAAGGGGAATGTGAGGATAGATCCTTCTAATAATAAGGGGTGATAGTTGTCTATTCCAATCACACCAGCTGAAAATGCAGCATTGAATGTGCTTTTAATAGGATAGTTATTGGACATTAAATAACAACTGAGGCTCAAAATCATGTAACAGATGTGTATCTATTACATAGCTATTAATCCCCAATGGATCCGTTTTCACAAACCGTGTGTTATTTAATGAACATACAATAACTAATAAATCTTAAAGAGAGACTTCTAATTGCAGTATTTTTGAATGCTAATTAAAAATTTTTATTAAGTTTTAACAGAAACAAATTTATTATATTGAGTCACATAATCTTAAGGTTCTGATAACCGAGTTGTTTCAACATAGTGTTTCTCATTATTTCAAATTGTGTGGGGGAAAAAAAAAGGCAAAATCACTGCTCTTAAAGTCCCCGTTGTTTTATTCTGGCTCTCAGGAAGGCTGGTTTTAGAGACTGCTGAGCAGTGGAATTTAACCGAGAGTCAGCACTTGCTCTATGGAAGCTCTGTTTAACAAGTCACATTTTAACAGTCACACCAAGATGTATTTTCCTAAATATATCAGGAACCCTACACATGGAACCCTGATCTTTTAAATACTGTGTCTTTTACCTTTCTTTAMATAAGTTTGCAGATAAGTCACAGCTAACAGAAGACTTTGACTGTAATTATATCTGCCTGGATTTAAGTCCTCTTTAGCACTACTCCCTCTCCTTCTTACCAAGAGGAATACTTGGTTTAAAATTAAATATTAACTTTAAAATGGTTAAATTTACAGGAGGGTATATAATTTAAGGATATTTCATTGTCTATTGCAACTATGGAAATCAACAGCCAAGGAGAGGACATGCCCACTGTTCTGTATAAAAAAACCCAAATCTATGGACAAAAATGACTCCGAATTAACACTTAGATGTCACACAAATAAACACATAAGTCATCTTAAATGTGAGTTATTTGAGTAATTCACAAGCTGATAAATCAGAAAAGCAAATATTCCAGCTCCTTCTGGTAACTGTATTTTCTCATATCTCTCATTATAAAGTAAACCCTGATTCAAGCAATTTGCCTTCAAACTCAGGGTCTTACTTTGAAATGTTCAGGCAGAAATAAATATGTCAAATAATAATGTCATTCTTAATCACACTGTGAATCACTTACTTTCTAAGAGAAATAGTTGATTATGTCATCTAATGTCTTACCAGCTATAAAAATTTACATATACAGAGAACAGCTTTCCCCATGTGCAAGAAAAGTGCTGAAATTTCCTGCATTTTATGTAACACAAATGGTTATCATCATGTGAGACTGCATATTGATTGAGAAATTGTTTATTTCTAACTGTTTGTATGGAAATATAATGCTGAATTTGCTCTACTTATAACAGATAATACTACGAGCAGTCTCTTTTTTTGCAAGTAAACAGATCCATTTTTCAGTCCTGTAATCAGTATGCATCTATTTAGCTACTTAACAGCAATGTGCTCTGGTTCATTAGGTAGCTACTGTTGTGTCTCAGCCTAGTTAAAATTTCACAGCAAGTTAATCTATTTTATTACAAATGAGAACACAAGTGATAATGTCCTCACCGTTTTCCAAACACAGGGTTAACAGTATTTGTAACAAATCAATGAGGGTATTTAAATAGGAAAATTGCAAATGTAAAACCTTCTTTTACACATTGATGACTTCATTTTATCTGTCATTTATGAATTTTACAACCTTGTTACTTTTCATATATATATATGTATTTTTTTTTCTTTTGAAAATTGCTTAGCTTCCACTGGCATATTGCAGTTCATGCTGGTTCTACAGTAGGAACACTTATATTACTGGAGATATATTTCTWAAAAAAGTTGTATTTTCTCAATTTGAATTTCCTTATTTTTCATAAATTTGTAAGATGCATAATCCAGGTTATAATGCAAAGAATTATACACACAGTTTACAGATTGTGAGAATTTTATGAAAAATGAAAACATTTCTCAAGATCTCACCTATTTATCTAACTACAGTACCTCTTTTATCTTATCTTTTCTCTTCCCTTTACAGAACTGTACCATAAATTTTCCCAAAAGACTTTTGTAGTACCTAATCCTTTTGAAGGGCAATATATTTCTGTCTTACTAAAGAACAGCGTCTTGCTTTGGCTCAGAAAATGCAGCTACAAAACACGACATTGTTTATTTTAGTTTTCATTTAGGTAAACGGCACTGACTCATCAACTCATCCAATTTCTAGATACATCCTTGGTTTCACCTCAGTATCCCTTTTCTATTCTACCCCCTCTGAGGTAGTATTCCACMGAAACAGTATGAAACAGTATGCAACCCTTGCATCTACAACAGCTTTATTAAAAACATATATGAACAGCTTACCTATTTTTGATATAATCATCTTGATCTTAATTCCTTTTCTCTGATTTTTTTTTTATAGTATTGATCTTCATTTTATGTCAAGAGCATAGAGAAGTGATGGAGCTGGATTTTCCTTTATTTGCTTTTATTCATAGTTCTAATGTAGCTGTAATTACTCTCCCAAATGTTAATCTATTAATGAGTTCCTAGAGGATTTAATGGCATTTCACTGCTGACAAAGACGTTTTGAAAGTTTGTCTGAGTCCTGGATATTTTATTCAGACATTTATCTTGATATTTCACATATAATTGAGGTGCTGCTTCTGTACTCTACAGTGGCAAAAAAGTTTGGAACTGAACAGACCTCGCTAATGAAACTGTGAGGAAGGAAAAACAGAGAGTCCTTTTTCTTTAGGTCCAGATCAGAATTTTTAACTATTAAAAAATAAATAAAATCAAACCTGATGACCTGACTGGAAAAATATCAGATTCTCATAGACCAAATCTTCTGATACTAGTCTGCACACTACTTCCCCACAGAAACACGTATCTCTCCACACTTGCATCTCCCAGTGCTTGCCAAATCACCATTTAATTTCCCCAAATGGACTGCACTGGTAACCTGGGCACCTAAGACCCTCAAAAGGTGGCTACCACAGAGAAGCTGCTTCCTTTCTCAGGAGGAGCTACACTGTGCAGCCAGCAGCAGAGCCAGCTTGCAGACGCGCTGCAGCACTCGTCACATATTTCTTCTTGATTCATTTTAGCTAACACTCCTTTGATACTAAGACCAAATACGCTTTTAAAAGTATTTTAAAGTTTACAGTCCTTGACTATTGCATTATTGCTTAATGCAATAAATAATTTAGGCTTCCTAAAGAAAAAGAACAATTCTAAGACAACAAACAAAAGTGTGCTAAATTTGAGGTGAAGCTGGACAGTGTTCCACAAGAAATATCATGGTAGAGGACTGGTTACTATTTCTAAATATGTGAAGAGTGGTTTGTATCTTGAGTTACCTCAGTCTGGAGATGGGCACACACAAAGAGAATGGAGCATTTGCTGGTCTGCTAAACCAGTTATAATATCTCCGATTGTGGTACGAATTGGAGATAAACAAGAGAAACAGCTGGTGTAAAAACTA